AGAGAGAGAGAGAGAGAGAGAGAGAGAGAGAGAGAGAGAGAGGAGCCTACCATGAGCTTCCCCGGTGCTGATCGCGGGAGAGCCCAATCGCGGGCGAGCTGGACCGGGCTGCGATCATTTATAATCCTAGACTCCTCCGCTCCGCCACTTGTCAAGATGACAGGTACTTTATTTCTTCTTCTTCTTCTTCTTTTTTTTTTTTTTCCCAAAAAATCAGATTCCCCGTTTCCTGCCTTTTTCTGTCAAATGGGATTCGCCGGACTGAACCACGTTCGCCGCCCCTCTCTCCCTCCTCCCCCCTCCTGGCCGCGTCGGGTCCGGGAAAGCACCGAGGCTCCCATGCTGTGACCAATCAGTGCGTCTACTACTCTTGCCGTGATTTAGGGGTCATCCATGAATAACACTTCAGGCTGATGAATGGCTCTTGCAGGCTTGCGGCTCTGATGAGGGGTCTGCACGCCGCTGATTGCAAACACTAATGAACTTACAGCGCCATTTGAAATTCACACGCACCAACAAAGTCCGGGGGTACGTGCGCGGGATCTGTCCTTTTCTTCTCCGGGTGACCGGGAAGAGGACCTAGGGGAGGGGACGGGTAATTGCTTTGGACTTAAGTGGAAACACTTCGCTCGGTAATCAAACCTCTAACCTTCTTAGAAAACTACTTTTCTTGATCTTCCATAGGGTGGGCATTTCGGGTCAGCTGAGTCACCCGAGGAGGTGGGAGTGCGAGACACTGCCGGGAAGATGGATTCGGAGGCCGAAGGGTGTAATTAAGGATTGCCAGCCCCGGCGGGCGGCCTGTCCTTCAACAAGCCTCTGAGAATGACCTGTGCCTTCCCTTTCTGAGTGTCTTCTCTTCCGAGCCTGAAAAGCGCAAATGACCTTCGGACGGGAGAGGGCTGCACTAAACATTCAGACTTCTTTCCGAGCCGCAGCTGTACACTGTAGAACAAGTGTCCCGATCTCCAAGAGCGTGACCTGGCCGGGGAGCACTCTGGGGTCCTCTAAAGCCTCCAGGCCCCCATCCGTATTCCCGTGCATTCACACATTCTGTCTCCTTCTCTCTCCCCCTCTCCCCCTCCTCTTTCTCCTCTCCTCCCCTTTTTCTTCTTTTCCTCCTCCAGGCAGATTAGCAGCCCAACACTGCCCCTGTCTCAAGTTTCTGTGTTATGGGAAGGGGAAAAAAGTTTACTGCTTTTCGCGACACAATGCCACTTGCTACTCGCTTAAGTTCCCACCAAAACTCTAGCTCCGCAATCCCCAGTTCCTCTCCCCAAATAGCTGGGGTGCAAAAAGCCCGCCGGCAGGGCTTCCTAAATCTGCTCCGAGTTTTCCCAGTTCCAGTTTGGGAACCTGACACTCATGGCCTTCCTGCTCTCAGGCTGGTCAGCCTGCGCCAGTTTGCGGTGCCTGTTACAGTGCATCGCCGGCGTGGAGTGCGCGCCTGCGGCGGAGGGGTGCACTAGGTTCCCGGCGGAGCGCCCCTGCGTTTCCTGCCCTCCCCAGGGACCTGCTGCCAGGCGGCCAGTGTTTCTTGGTCTGCCCCAACAGCTGCCAACCTGTCGCTACAGCTTGGCAGAGGGACTAGTGCACGCTGAGACCGTTAACTATACCCTTCCCGGCAACTCCAGAGGTCGGGATTACCGACCTGTACCTGACTTGGCTGGAAGGAAAGAGATTTGTGTTTTTACTTGCATTTGCATGCAAAGCAAGATCGAATCTAGCGCTCCCAAAAGCGAAGCGCAAAGCCTCCTAGGAAAGCCTGAATCTTTCTGATGGAGTTCTCCAAAGTTTGGGGTGGATCTCATTTGTGACTTGAATTAAGGAGTCTGGACCCACAGTCTGAGTTCCCGAAGTTGCTAAGTGACTGAGCGCGCCACAATGTGTCAAGAAGTCTCAGTAGTAGGCCAACCCCACTTGGCCCCTGGGGCTCCAGTGACCACAGGCACATCTTTATGGGAACAATCAAGAGTTGCCCTAGGGCGCTTTGTAGTGTTTCCTGCCACAGTGAATTTAATTCTCAGAAAAAACATACACAGAGGGTGGGGCAGGGGTCTAAGGCGTGTATCTCTCATTCTAGCCACTCTCATCTGAGAAGTTGGTCAACTATGAAAACATGCCCCAGACATTAAATGATGATCACAAAAACTGCTCAAAATTTGCACACCTGAGATAATTCGGAGGAAACTAGAGGCGTTCCATAAATCAGTTATGTGGATCAGATCCCATAAAAACATCTTAAGTGTTTAAAAACTTTTATAACTGTCCAAGTGGCACTCTCTCTTGCTCTTTTGTACCTTGCTATCTAGGAATGGACAATAAAGTGAAAAGACCCTGCTCCATTCCTTAAAGAAGCCAGAAAAGAGAGCTGCATTAGGAAAATGGGGAGGGGTTAATCTTTTTTTTCTTTTTCTTTTCCAGAACCCTCATTATAGCTAACGCTAGTAATAAACGAAGGAAACAATGGAACTCATAAAACTTAGAAAAGGTAATAAATCTTGGAGCCTGTCTCTAGTCTACTTCCCTGTTATATGATTTTCAAAGTTTTTTTTTAAGTTTGTGGTGCTGAATGTTCACTTAAAGTGGATAATACACACACGTGCACATACACATATTCCACAGGAAAAGAAAATAAAACCCCCAGAATTTATTAGTGTTGCCCTGTGCATTCTGTGCTCAAAGTGGGAATGGGCAAAGAGCACAGCTCCCAGACAATGTCCTCCTGTGTCCCCAAGGCACAGCCTGCAGTAATTCAGGCAGTCTGTAAATGTGTTAAATTCGGGGAAGGTGGAGTAAGAGAAAGATCTATCCTTTGAGAGCATTAGGAAAAGCTGATAGGCATTGCCAGAGTGTAGTAGTTGCCACCTCCTCCAATTGCATCCGCTGGAAAGCAGAAAGGATGTGACCTCAAGCCACTGTGCCTAGCTGCACTGCTGTTATGGGAGGGCGAGGAGGGCATAAGCTCCCACTTTTCCCTTCGCAGCCATAAGAACTAGAGAGTAGAAGAAATGGAAGACATTGCTATCTGTTTTGCAGACTTCTGGCTGCTGCCCACAGCTAAGTCTTACAGCTGGTGACTTTGCGGTGTTAACGCAGCCGGTCGTGCGCGGAGATAATGGGGCTGCCAAGCTGGCGGCAACGCTGTCCCTTGGGCCCCTCTTGTCACACAGACATGCTGCTTTCCGCAAAGAGAAAGTGGAATAGCTTCCAGCACAGCCTGCATCCACACCCCTAGAAATGTATGCCTGCGGCCTTAGTAAGGCTTAAGGGAAGGTAAAAGGCTAAACTTCTGATGCACTTTGGGGTTAGGAAGGATGCACCTGTGCCTCAAGCCCTGCTGCTGGTGCAGGGCCAGACAACAGCCAGGAGCTGTCTCCCACTTGAAGGTGACTCTTCCCCATTTTAGTGAGCATCGCTTGAACCTGCTGGGGAGGCTTGTTTTGGAGAGCTCTTTCTTCCCTCCTCTTGTCCTAGAGATCCAGCATGCAGCTGGAGAGGCCGGGTGGCAGCTGTTCCACCCTCCTTCCTTCGGAGAAGCCACATCTTGCTTTGCTGTGGGCGGCCTTCAGCCGAGAAGAAGGGGAGCCTGAGGTCTTGCAGGTACTAGGCTCTCCAGGGAGACCATGATATACCGCTGGACTTCTCAGGTATTCTTTGGACTTACTATACCTGGTCTAGCTTGCTGAATCTTGAGTGGACTGACTTCTGGGCTCACCACTTGAGGGACTCCAGAAACCCATGAGCAACTAGAAGAAATGACAAGAAAAGCAAGAGCTCAGGGCCCTAGACCTGTCATCTCAATCCTGAGAAAAATCAGGAAAGCCAAAATAGTCCAAATACGTCCGCAAGGAGGTTATGTCTCAATGGAGAGCAACAAATATCTCATGGGCCACTTGAAACAGGCTAAAAGGTAGGAGTTGCTGAGCAAACCCTGAATTCTAGGCACTCAAAGTATTCCTGTCAAACAAGTCATTTTCCTTATAGCAAACAATCTGGAACATTTTACTGCACTAGAACTTAAATTTCACACTCTCTAAAGTAGCCATGAAGTTATTATCAGGTTGCTTTTCACTCACAAGAATAACCTGTTTGTCTTGGCAGTTAAGTTGAGGGAAACTACAACAAAAATTAGATTTTGATCATTGACAAAGTCATAAAATTAAATGACTGTTTGTGGTGGAGAATATGCTTTCATTATCTTAATTAAAATGAGATAGTCTGTCCTCTCTCAATGCACATCCATTTTGGAGTCATGGCGTGGACTGGTGATCAGACAACTCAACCTTTAAATGGGGCCAAGTTTTTCCACTACATTAGCTTGTGTTCCAGTGCATAAAACAAGCTTGCATGTGGCTCTGACCTTTGGTGCAAATGAAGTTGTGGAGCACAACCCAACTGCTGATGTGGTTTTGCTAGAGCATCCTAAAAGACTACAAGTTCTGTGAAGGATTTTGAACATAGAGACATCGTTTAACATGTGGTGCTTTCAAATTTGGCTGAACTCCACAGACATACTTAAAATTTGCCACATGATTCCGCACTGGAAGTGGGAAACTTTATAATTAATGGCTATCAGAAAGTTCTTGTGAAATTCATCAGTTTTTATACATGACTTGGTAGTAATATCTACATAGTATATTTGAGTTAAATACCAGTTGCTGACAAAGTAATGTAAACACAGTTTGGTCGATAAAACATCATTTAGGGAGCCGGGGAGATAGCACAGTAGAATAAGTGCTTGCCTAGCTAGCTCAAGGGCTTGAGTTCAATCCCCGGTTCCTCAAAAAAAATCATTTAGATATTTTAAGAGTACAGTTTATAATCCTAAACCTAATCTTCTAACAGATTAACTTGTAAATATGGTTTAAATATAGATACTATATGTATCTAATCAATGCCAGATAAATTGAACATCTTCTCATTTCCCAAATATGCCCAACTGTTATTTTCCTGTTGTTGACCTCTTGGTCTATAATATCCTGCACCCTGGACCACCCAAATACCTCACTTTTGAAGCATCTATTAGTAATCTCTCCTCTTTAGGTGTGCTACTGTATTTTCTGTGTGTAATGAAAGAAAACTGTGTTTTGTAGGGCCCTTCCTGACAGATGAGAGTTCCTGCAATATAGAGACTTTATTTTCCTCTGAAACCAAAGGGCCTATAGTGCTGGTCTATAGGCTATGCTCAGAAATGTTTATTCAATCAATGAATGAATATATGAATAAAATATTTTATTGTAGTTAGTCATTCTGACTTTCTTTTAAAATAGGATATGTCATAAACAAAATTTACCTCGAAAATATGTTGATCAAATATACTTCTTTACATCTCTGGCCATTGTTTTTAAAATGAATAGTTTTTCAATTCTGATCATTATAGGAACCTACCTTTAAACTTGGTAGACTTCTTTCAGAAACAAAGACAATCGAAACAGGAAAAGGCAAAGAGATCAAATTGTATTTTCATTTTTAGTAAGATGATAATTTACAGAAAACTACAAAAAGGTAGAGCAAGTATCTGACAAATGTGGATACTCTAAGTATTTACATTACCTATGGCTCTATTATAAAATCCTTATTGCCTTCCAAATTTCCCCTGTATTTTTACCGGTAAAACATATAGAACTTAAGATGACTGCTTTTCATTGCTTTAAGACAAGGGTTCAGCTGGTACTGGGGAAACAATCTCTGTTTGTTCCTGTCTGCTCAGGAGGACTGTTTCTAATTGATCTGGCATGGAATTTAGTTGGAGATGTGTATGTTCCAACCGAAGCACAGAGCCTGTATGCTTTGTAAAGTGATAACCATATGGGCCTTATTTGAAACATTTGAGGATTTTTGACATTAACCTGGGTTAAATTGAGCTATAAATTCAACTCAAATATATACGTCCTGACAAATTCATCATCACTTTGGATAGATGCAAGCCATGCTCCCCTCATTATTAATAAAGTCAATGACTGCTTATCACCAATGCAAAGGTTTGCTGTGATGAAGTGCCGTAATGTTGTACTTTGCACTGTTTAAATGCAAATTGCCCATATTAAGCAGACATTTGCTACTGTTATCACTTTCAGTAGAATGGAAATTTTAAAAATGATCTCTAGGTAAAGAAAAGGATATGTAGTCAAGTCTATTTCCTCTTACACTATTTTCAAGTGCACTTCACTATCATCATGAAGATTTAATTAAGCAAGCTCAGCCAGGCTAAAAAGCAGAGCGGCGGGAAGTTACTACTTATAGAAACATTCAGGACTTACACAAAAATAATTTATTTACTATTAAGGGATAAAAATACAACAGAATTCTATAACTCCTTTCCCTTATTTCTGAATATTAAATTTAGAGCTTACACTTTGTTACAGATAATAGTACTAAGTTATGGGTGTTGATGGTCCTTTCCTTGCAGTTTTAAATTGCCTTGAAAAAGATACAGTTTCTTTAATTAAAAAAGCTGCATAGAACTAATCCCTCTAGCTGTAAAAAGAAAAGTTTTAAGCAATCTCTTTCTGCTCCGAGAGAGAAAGGCAGACAATACCATAACAGATCAGAAACATAAGCTATAGTGTGCAGCCAGGAGCCCAGCAGGGAACTGAATACTGCTCCGACTGTGTCATTTTTTAATCCCCCATCCCAGTTTTCCCCGTCTGACCTCATGCTGAGATGAAGTTATCACAGAAGACAGCTTTACTCTCACCAATGAATCCAACCCTGGATCTGTATTATCCTCAGCAGATCAAAACACCGCTTTCATCAAATAGCATTATCTGCATAAAAGGCATGCAATTGCCCGATAATTTCACCCAAACTATGCTATTCATTTAAAGGACAAGAAGAGAAATGTAATTCATTCCTTTTGGGGGGTGGCAGAGAAAAGTGAGACTTGGGGAGAGACAGAGGCTGGAAAAGCTAACTTAGCCTCCTTCACTCATGGGAACTTTTCTGTTTTCAACACAAAATCCCAAGAAGGGGTCCATTTAAGAGTTCCCCTACTCCTGAGCTTTAAGATTAATTGTTGGAGCAATTTGGTGCAGTTTGAGTGACAAAAGTGTACGTTGTGTAGAAAACTGGCAATAAGAAATTACAAAGCTTGCTGATGTCATTATCCATGCTTCCATGAACCCCAATAAAAACATCATATCCAGTAAAATTGGAGAAGCATAAGAATTAGCTGAACAATTGGATGAAGTTTAACACAGCGTAGTATGGCGGCGGATACTCACTAGAAGATCTTTCTGTGCTTAAAAGAAGTTTGATTTTTTTGCAGTGAGAAGACAAAGACCTATTCCATAATTTTGAGTTGATACTTTGAAGATTATTCAAGATATCTTAGTAGCAAAGACTAGGTTTCTTTAAAAAAAAATTAAAAAACCCTTTAGCTTCCTTCAGATTTTCCTTTCCGTCTTATGTTTAAACAATTCTCATTTGCATTGCAGATTGTGTAAGCTGTTATAATGGACTTCTCTTCAATAAATGCTAACTCTTTATTGAATGACATCAGTTGTTTTGCTCAAGGTATCATGGTAAGTTAGAGCAATCATATGGAACCATTTCTGTCAAGTAAAAGGAATTACTGAGAAGCACTAGAACTCCTGTATGGGTGTGGGTGACTTACTAGGCATATGTTAATATCCTTATAATATGCATTAATCACCATAATTTTAACAATTTACCTTGAAAATGTAAATCTCTTCAGCACTTTTATAATTTATTATGTAAATTAACTGGGCAAGAAATCCAGCTTAATCCCAATCTTGACATCACCCAGACAACGTCTACCCACAAAAATGTGTAGGACAATCAGAATTGCTTGGGATAGCATTAATATGCTTCACATCAGTGGCTAGGGATATTCAAAGAAATCCATGGTAAAAATAAAACAGGTAAAGAAACAAAAACTTTTCCCTTGAAAGAGAGATACTGGTTCTACCAGAAATTAATCACAGCATGATTATTGGTCATCGCTATTATTTTAATTATATATGTGTATATTCTAAGACATTGAAATAGAATAAACAGAATTTTTTTCCATCTCACTTTCCTGAAATGACTACTTATTACTGAAATGCTCCAAGGCTAAAATTCTGTGTAAATATATGGTCTGCTCAGTGGTCAAGTTCAAATTCATGTTTCCAAAATATAGCTTCCTGACAAAGAAATTATCTTAAATTTAATATGATTAAGCATTAAACTGTGGTATTTCCTTGAATTTAATGCCAACACTATTTTCATGTCAAATTTGATTATAAGAACCTACTTTCAGTGTAAACTGTTTAAAGCCCTAAATCATTAACAGATCACTTAGGGTTCAGTCTCACAGAATTTCTTGTCTGAAATGCCAGGGAAAGGTACATAAGCAGAGACGAGTTTCACATTTTGCCTACATGTGTATAGATGTAGCTGGTTTTACAAGTCACATTTCTATCTCAAGATGCCAGGAATAAAAGATGTTTGCATCATCATACTCCTGATAACTTTGTGAACACACTTACTATGTAATTAAGGCTCGTACAAAGTACCGTGTCAAAGTAAATCATGGGCCAATACACCACTAGACATGGATATGATGACAAAAACAATTTAATGAAGAATTAGAAATTTTATTTTATTTTCAGGGGAAAGCACAAACGCAGTCCCCCACTACTACAAATCATGCAGTTGAGAGTCTTACATTTGGGGAAATCACAGGAGTCTGCACATGGGGAGCGCGATGGATGAGCCTTACCCTGGCAAACCACTTTTGTGATCATGGTATCTCCCCTGGCAGGCGAGTATGAAGAATTGGAAATTTTAAATAAAAGATTTTGACGTTCCCTTTTTTACTTACTTTCATGCCAAACCTATGTTTAACTCATAACTGATTTCTCTAAGAGACTAAACCTGGATCATGCATATATTCTGATTTCAGTCACCAGAGTTAGTGTCTTGAAAGCTAAATCACCATCTTCACAGGTCATGGAATTTTTTATAAAGAAGATACCAAAATATCACTCCTCTCAGAATAAAAGCTTCTCAAATAGGGGAGGGAAAGGTATGTATGGCGATATTATAGGTAATGCTATTCTCTTGCCTAAAACTTTGGCTTATTTACAGTCTGTTAAGACAGCTCTATAATGTGATGAATTCTGTATAAATAAAAATTATAGACAAAGGCCACAAAATGGCCAAAGACTCAGGAATAAGGCAATGTTATATGGTCTGATTTTTATTTTCTCTGGCGAGGATATAGCTTTGGGTTTTGTTTGGTTTAGGGGAAAATGTAAGAAGCCAGGCATTTCTAGAAGAAAAGAAAGAAAGAAGGCTCTGTCCTGGGCATAAGAAGCACCCAAATATCTTTCTGTGTTTGCCTAACACTTTTTTCCCTAGCCCTAGCCTCCAAATCCAGCACTTTAAACCCATGAAATCTATGAAAGACCAGGATTCACCTTCCCCTCTTTTATCCTTGGATAAGATATCTAGGAGGGGAAAAAAAGTAGGCCATCAGAAGATTATGTGCTAAGAGGGTGTAAAGTGGGAGGAAATTGGCAGAGAGCCTGTGTGTTAGGAGAAAGAGAAGGGAAAAGGGGAAACTGAAGACAGACTGAGGGGATGCTGAAAGGAAGAGGGCCTCATGACAGATTCCTAGGGTAGCCCTGATGGCTGCACATTTATCTTTTGTCTCTCAGTTTACACTGATCACAGGGTACTGAAGAGTGGATGGTGTTGCTAGCAAACTAGCTTTACAGCAGGCTTTTTTATAGGTAATATTTATTTTTGAACTTATTAGCAAGCAACCTATATACATTTTAAAAAAGATTTTGATAACAAAGTGGGTTTTTGTTCAAATTTGAAGATTATCTCAATAGAAAATAGGCTATTAAAAACTTGTAAAGTTTCAAAATAGTAACTTTTAGACCACCACTCTTAGAATCACAGAACAGGGGCGCTTGAAATAAATATACATTCCTGGGCCCCACTTCAGCTACAGGGAATCAGAATCTCTAGGAACAGAACCAATATTTCAGTATTTTAAATAAGTCTTCCAGAACATTCATACGCATAGGAAATTTTGACAAATATTGCCTTGGGCTAAATATTTTGCTTAAAGTAAATAGATATTTCAGATTTTAGCATTTCACTGTTAAAGGGAAATTGTTGCAAATTAATCTGGTTGAATTATTTTCAAAAGCAACACGATCTCACTTAAGGAAGGAACCAAGTCTTAAAAATGAAAAGGATGAAAATATCCACCTGAAGGAATTCCAGCAGAAAACTTCATGACACTTCACAATCAGATCTTGAGTCATTCTTCTAAGAGTAGCACAATCAACAAGTTATAAACTGAGCTAAAATTTTCTGTATATTTAAGAGCTGGATCACTGTATACACATTTTTGCTGACTATATTGTTCAGTATTACTATATGCTTCTAAAATTATATATACATTTTGAAACAAACCTTTAAATATGTATTCATTTTATTATTAACTGAAAATTTATTTTGTGAAATAGAACAGGAATTGGCCTAACATGCATGATTTTTCCTAGGAATCTAAAATAAATATATTAAAAATAAAGAGCTTTTTCTTGAAGCGATAGTTCTAGGTCATCATCCAGTGGTATTTCTAGGATGCTTCTGTCAAGTCACTATTGCTCATATGGCAAGCATGCATTTTAAACATGAAATATCGCCACCTTGCCATTGTCATTTTCCTCTTTTGCAATTGTTTGTCTCTGAACAATGCGCTACTGCAGACTGACCCAAGGGCCTTGTACATGCTACACAAGTGTCCTGCCACTGAGCTGCAGTCTCAACCTTAGGATATATGTACGATTATATTTAAGGATGTGATTCTGTTTTTCCCCTATCTTGTAGACTTAAAACCTTTAATAGGAATAATGAGGAAAACATTTAAGTAAGTGTTTGTTGTTTTGACTACTGTAATTACTACTACTACTGTAATTGTTGCTTACCCTACTCTTCCTCCTCCTGACCTACCTGGCCTGAACGAGTTCTTACAGGCAGTATGCCCTGCACATTATATGCATTCTGTCATGTTAGCCCTCACAACTTCAAACTACCATTCGATTCCACATCATAAAATCCAGAACATACATATGTGAGTAATTTATCCAGTGTGAGTGGAAGAGCTAAATTGATGATTTTGATTCCAGTGCTCAGACTCTTAGTACCTATTTCCAAGAGGCCTAGAAACTGTTGTGATTATGTTAGTTTTTAGATCTATAAATTCATACATTGAAACACAAACTAGAGGTTAGTGAAAGACTGATACCTTTAAATTCATACACACACACAGAAACATACTCATACCTCTAGTGAGAATTTCACACAAAAAAAACTTTTTTGTTGTTTGAGTTGGCTTCTTAGAAGAATTATATGATTTGAAAACAAATCAAACATGACCAAACTTTAGGTCCTACTATACCACAACAAGATCATATGTCTATGGGTTATATAATGTAATTACCTCCAATATATTTTACAATTCCTTTATTCCGCTAAAATTATTGCTACACTCAGCACATATTTATAAATGATAGCTTTAGGCTACATTTACAGATGATTTCAGTACCAAAATGATAATTCTGTCTTTAAGATTAATCTATGCAGGATACAGCAAAACCACTGTTTTAAGGACTGGCTATAGTTTGGAGATGATAAACACATGTCACTGTGGTAAAAATTTGCCAGGAAGACTAAAACTGCACCAATATCTGTTAGCTTGTAGAATGTGGTAATCCTTTTTAAAGCACAAAGGAAGTTAACAGGGTGAATTGTAAGCTGGCTGCTACTTGAAATTACAAATCATTGAAAAACCGTCCATGAGAACACCTTAGGGAGTCAATGTGGATAATAACAGTTTATGTGTGGTTGCAAAACAATAATGAACCTGTCTAATCAATTGTTCTGAATAGCAATAGATCATAGTGGAAGGAAAAATACACATCCTTATTGACCCCTTGTGCATTCTGTAACATTTCATTCTTGGGACTTTTGAATGGCTTCCTTTTGCATCTGATCGTGCAATGGCAAATTAACCCAAAAAGGATTGCTCATAACTCTTCCAAAGACAGAATTTAACATAAATAAATGAAATCAGAACAGAAAATAATCCCATTATTTTTGCTCTTTTAAATAGATATCTGAATGTTAATAATGGTAATATCAAATATAAATTAATATAAAATAAATCATAATTATGTGAAGGGTTTTTATTTTAGGATTCAGAATTAGTGAAAGAAGGGACTTAAATTTATAAATAGAAAGAGTAATGAACTATAGTCTCACCTCACTTTATCCAATTAGGTTTATGTTCCTAATGGATGTGTCTTAGTACAGCCAAATATATTTTGTTGTGACCTGCAATGACTGATAACCTGTTAAATGATTGATTATTTGAGGTGCATTAACTTTACATGTATGGACATGCCAAATTCTCAGCATTAAATTGTACGAAACAGTTCTTTGTCTGCTTTTGACTACACAGAACCCAACACATTTAGATTTTGTAATTAACATGGTTCACATAGTGACTATAGAAATAAATAGATTCAATAAATATGCAGGTGGCTTAGGCAAAAATTCATTTGATACATAAGGATAATTATTATCACCAATAAACAGAACTCTTTGTCAAATAACAATTTTGTTTCATCTTACAATTAAAACTGCCACACAAGTAAAAAGAAGCTGTCTCTGTACCTGCTCGTCACAGATACTATAAACATCAAATGTGATAGCATTTTAAAACTTTAAAGGATTGTTATTCACTAGTAGTATATTTTATTTATCTAAGCACATTGACCATTAATTTTACTCATGTAGTGAAAGTCAACATGAAGTATTTTAATCATAGGCTTAATGTAACAATTTGTGTACCATGATGCTATAGTCTTGAAACTTTGTCTGAATCATAAAATATATTCCCACCTGTACAGATCAAAAACTGAGACAGAAGAGCATTCAGTATTAACAAACTGTTCTTTTCTGCTTGTGGTGATTTATTATGTTGAGTCATATGCTCATTCAACCAATACTTATTTTACTTGGTGATGAAAATCTGTAAGCTGAGTTTAATGTTCTGGGCAAGAAGACGTTCAAAATGTAGCTTACTAAGAGTGTTAGTAATTAAGTGGGAACCCTTAATTTATTACACTGTTGCTTATGCACTAATTACAACATTTTGGTGATTATTACTACTGTATGACTTGGTATTATTGTTCTATAAAAATATATGTGATTTTTATGTATATAAATTTGATCCACTTAATTTTATTTGTGGTGATGTGTCTTAGATTTTTTTCTGTTTGCAAATTTTGCTAAGAATACCACTAATGGAATTTTTTCATATCTATGTATAAAACCCGTTCACAGGGTAATTTTTTTAACTCAATGAAATCTTTTTCAGAAGTGCTATCATTTCTCTAATTTTGGACGCTAAATTGTACTCACATGTAAAATTCTAGATATCAATGAAATTTCACATTATTTTGTGGTTATTATCTCTGAAAGCATTTTCTCTAAAGTATCCTTATGAAAAAGTTTATTTTCCTTATATTTAGATAAAGAAAATACAGTCTAATTTGAAGTGGTGAACTATCCTGATTATGTTTTGTTTTCCTTGCAATTTTCTGACTACATTAGAAATTTACAAAAATAATAGTGAACACAATATAGGTTTGTATTTTAGGAAATAACACCACTAGCATACACATATTCATATACCTTGTGTATTTCCTACTATCTTTTGGTACCTTCACTTTTCTTCAATGAAA